AAAAAAAAAAAAAGCACAAATGCATGGGTTTTCGGGGTGCATGATGTTTCTTGTTAAGATTTGGTTGATTCTTGCTTGATGATTGAAAAACAGTTCCAATTCCAGTTTGAATGAACAGTTCTTCATTCTCTTCTGTGTGCACAAGTGCTCTTATGAACAGACTAATGAGAACAGCCCCAGTAATGAGACTTTGGGAAGCTAACTTTATGCCAAGAGCAATCATTGTTTAGCTGCAGTTATTTTCTCATCACAGCTCAATGAGGTAGTTATTCTAAAGACTCTCCCATTTCACAGTTGGGGAAACTAAAGCATAAGGAAGTTAATAGGTACTTACTCAGTGACAGAGATTAAAATCCACACAGTTGATTCCACTGCCCACCACCTCTTGACTACTAAGCCAGGCTGCCTTTCTAATTAGATTTTTACAATGGTTGCATTATTAACAAACTTCATTAAAATAGAAGCCTATATTTTCATTGTACCTAGAATGTACCTTGCAAGGTTTATCAAGGAGGTTGGTGAATAAGATAATAATTTAGGATATACTTATTCAGCAAGATCTGAGATCTCTACCATTCATTTCTTAACCTCCTTGATAATCTATATAACCTCTGTGACCAAATCAGCATTCATAAAATAATGCCATGTGGGTTTGAAAGCCTGGCCCCAAACAACAATGACGGCTGCAGCAAAAAAAAGAAAAGAAAAGAAAAGAAAAGAAAAGTAGCCAGGCCTTGTGGCAGGCTCCTGTGGTCCCAACTATTTGGGAGGTGGAGGCAGGAGAATTGCTTGAGCCCAGGAGTTGGAAGTTGCTGTGAGCTGTGATGCTACGGCACTCTACCCAGGGCAACGGCTTGAGGCTCTGTCTCAAAAGAAAAAAAAATAATAATAATGTCACGTTTTTGGATTGGCTCCTATTAGACTACATCTGGAGCAAAGGAGATTCATTGACATGATCAGTCTAGCCAGGTCTAGTAGCAAGTTTACTATTTTGGAAAATGGGCTATATTTTTATTGAGAATAATATTTATAGCATAGAGGGATTCACATGTAGTTATAGGACAGTAGGAGTTAGGCACATACTTTATTAAGTAGACTGTCAAATGCATTTGGATGTTCGGGTGATTAAAAGTTTTTTGTGTATTTGTTAGTAAGTCATTGTTATTTGCAGGCCTGACAATAATCATTTCATCAAATATGTAGCATCTAATATCTGCCTGTATTTTATATATTTTTGAAAGACAAATACAAAAACATGTCTATATTAATTTGTATGCTGGTGTGTATTTAGTCCTTTTGGTTTATAAAAAATTAAAAAGTATTCAAACTGTGGACTTTATATTTGGTTTTGGTTTGAGATTGTGTCCTATCACTTAAGTAGTAGGTTAACTACATGGTAGAAAAGTTTATTTAAGAAATCTGAGGGTGGCGCCTGTGCTCAAAGGAGTAAGGTATGGGCCCCACATGCCAGAGGTGGTGGGTTCAAACCCGGCCCTGGCCAAAAAAAAAAAAGAAAGAAATCTGAAAGTGATTCTACACTAGGTGCAGACTTAAAGTGAGGGAGATTTTCTGGTTTCGAATACATTCATTCTTTGTGCCAGCAAAAGGCTATTTGGGGGCTGCTCACCACATTATTGCAGTTCCCTTCATTACCTTTGTGTTGCATTTTCATCATGTGTTCTACCCTTTGGCTCTCCTAGGGAATGGCTGTTGTAGAATTTTGTAAGAGCTGCTAAATGAGAAATTATCATGGAAATTTTGCTATTAGCACAATATGTTTCTATTTCCTTACTTAATGAATTAAGTTTTATTTGGTTTGTAAATCATTCTCCTCATGTTTTTCTTTCCATTTCAGAGCCACTCAATACACATGCATGTTGCTTAGATATTTGTTAGAGCCTAAAGCTGGCAAAGAGAAGGTGGTAATGAAGCTTAAGAAACTGGAGTCCAGTGTGAGCACTGGCCGTAAATGTAAGTACCCTGTTTCTTGAGGAACAGTGTCTCCTGGTTTAGAATCTTCAGCTTAAGAACCTGTAATTCACAAAATACTTTCTAAATTATTAGTTTCTTGTCAGTCAAATTTAATTTCTAGTCAGTTGAGTTTTTTGATGAAGTTGACCAGGAAGGCTGTCCTCATAGCCCAACAGGCCCAAAAGTTTGAATGTACTGCTGAGACAATTCACAAATACCCTTCTGTGTTCACATTTGGTGTTAAAACCATAACATTCTGCTTAATTGTTATCAGTAGAATATTCAGTGTGTTAGCTCACCTTTAGTTTTTATAATTATAAACTGTTTTAGCAATCTCTGATGTGAGATTCAGTCTCCTGTTAGCCCTTTTGTTCTTTACATGAGCAGAATAGGTATATTTTGGGTCACTTGTCTTTCCCTTTCTTCTCTTGAATATTACTAGAGGATATGTTTGGATGCATTTTATTAGAGCATTTGTGGGGTGGTTTCATGTGAAAGGCAAAAAGTAAAGTCATTTTGGGGGGGGGGTTCATTTAATTCACTTTAATAATCATGCTGGGAAATCCCATACTTCTCTTAGCAGTTACTTGCATAACTCCTTTGTCTGATGAAAGCCTGATGTTGCTATGGTAGGTGAGCAGAGGTGTTAGCATGGAATGTAGCATGTTACATATTGATCAGCTGTTTTTGAGCACCTGCTTCATACAGATACGCACCTGAGCCTTCTGTGCGAAAAAATATGTTCTAAATAGTATTATAAAATGTAGTTGCCTGGAGTAGAGGAAATGAAAGTGTTTTGGAGGAGGTGGGACTTGAGGTGTGGCTAGAGAGAAAAGAAAGAGTTCTTGAAGGTCAGTGTCCTCCAGTAGAGGCTCAGAACTGTTAAGAGCAAACCATTGTATTGGAAGATTGGGGTGAGTGTTTTTGGATAGCTTTGAAGGCCACAATTAGAAATTGTATCTTAGATTCTTGAGAATGTTGGTGCGCAAAGGCCATTTAGAGGTCACTAGTCTCTAAGATTCAGAAGGGGCTTAACCAAGGTCATTCAACTAGTTAGTGCAAGAACCAGGATTGGAACCCAGAATCCATATATTGGAATGGTCATTACCTATACAGTTTTATGTTATTTTAGTAAAATAATACCAAAAAATCTGAGATTGTAAGTTTTCTGAGAGTAGCTACTTCTGAGCACTTAACTGAGTCTGAGGCAGGGTCCTTTAAGGAAAAGTACATTTTTTGTGTTCTTCATAGTGTTTAGGGCTATAACTCTTTCTCAATAGGTACTCAGTAAGTACTTGCTCGATGCATCCCTGGTTGATTGAATTACATGCTTACAAAGGGACATGCCATTGCAATAGTTGAGTTAATTCAACTGGAAGCTTCATGTAACAAAATTGTCTTTTTCATTAAATCCTACTGTTTCTCCTTTGATTTTTTTTTTTTTGTCAGTAGGTAGCCAAAAGGGTTTTGGACTAGAGAAATGGCAAAATACTAATGGTCTTTTTGTTTAGAAAGCAAGGAAAATAAATAAAAGATAAGGGTCAGACTCTTCAAGAGAATGTTGAATCTGAAGTTCATGTTTTCCTAGAACCTTCCTTCTCAAGAAGTATAGCTGGTAATACTCAAATGTAAGTCAGTGTTAAGATGTTCACTGGAAGGGATGAGGTCAGTTTCAAGAGTCACTGTCCTCGGTGCCTTCCAGGATCACTTTAGGGGTCCTAAACATACTGTGAAGTTCTTCTCCTTTCCTGAGTGAAGGCTGAGCCTCAAATGACCATCAGTTGTTAAAAATCCAGTGCTGGCTCCTCACCCTCATACACAGACTCTGCCTTCCTGTTATGTACTAATGAAGTAACTGTTAACTATTGTGGTTTCTGCTTGCAGGGTTAAGACTAGGCAATGTGGTACATGCCGTACAGGCCACTGAGCAGAGCATTCATGCCAATGACCTGGTACCCCGTTTGTGCCTGACATTAGCCAACCTCAACCGTGTGATTTATTTCATCTGTGACACAATCCTCTGGGTAAGGAGTGTAGGTCTCGCCTCTGGCATCAACAAAGAGAAATGGCGAATATGGGCTGCCCGCCACTACTACTATTCTCTCCTGCTGAGCCTGGGCAGGGATCTATATGAAATCTCCCAGCAGATGGAACAGGTTGCACACAACAGGGCCAAGAGGGAGAAATCCTCACCCCGGGATCATCTGGAGTACAGCGTGGCTGATGAGGAGACTGAATGGCTCCAGTCCTTTCTTCTTCTCTTATTCCGTTCTCTGAAGCAGCATCCTCCCCTCCTCCTTGACACAGTGAAGAACTTTTGTGATATTCTGAACCCTTTGGACCAGCTGGGAATCTATAAATCCAATCCTGGTATCATTGGACTTGGAGGACTTGTGTCCTCTGTGGCAGGCATGGTCATTGTGGCATATCCTCAGATGAAGCTGAAGACCCGCTAGTGTGTTTTCCGGCTGAGAAGTAATAGTATCTGCTTTAACAGATGACCTTTTAGTGGATTGGACATTTGCATTAGTCATGGACCATGTCAGACTGTACTTAAGTTCTTGTTCACGAGAACATTTAGTGACCCGTGATGTGAGCAGAGGTGGGGCCAAGAGTGCAGAAGGGGAGATCATGAAGATTTCTGTGTATTTTTTTAGAGTGCTGGAGTGACTTGTGAGTGTATGGATATTTTCTCTTCATCTAACATTTATTGAACCTCTCTTACATGGATAGTAGGAGCATAGTGCTTGCTGAATAAATAAAAATGGAAAG